TTAAATTAATTTCAACTACTACTCGCCCACCACGCGAGGGAGAAAAAGACGGTCAAGATTATTATTTTATTAGCAAAGAGACCTTTCAAGCCGAATTAGAGAAAGGCCGTTTTTTAGAGCATGTAATTTACGATGGCAATTATTACGGAGTCCATGGCAAAGTGGTCGATTTAATATTAGGAGCCCAAAATAAGCATGGGGTTATTATTGTGGATGTGGCCGGTTTTCGGCAAATCAAAAAATATTGTCAAGAAAAAGGATACAACGCCATTTCTTATTGATTTAAAGCCGAAAGCACGGAAAAAATGGTTGAACATATGAAAAAAAGAGGCACCAGCGAGCCGGAAATTATTCGCCGATTAATTATTGCTGAAAGAGAAGAAAAATTTGCCACAGAGTTCGATCATATTTTAACCATTAAAGAAAATGAATTAGCCGCTACCGCCCAAAAAATTAAGGAATATTTGAGTTATGAAAAATAAATAGAATATTTTAAATTAAACAATGATATGAAAAATAAACACGGACATTTTAAGAATAGAATAATCAGAGATTATTCATTTAAGAATAAAATAATTACAAGTAATTATTTATTTCAATCAAACAAAGATAAGAAATAAGTCAGTATAGTAAAAATTAATATCTTTTTACTCTGTTTTTGTATTTTTATACTTTTAGCATTTAAAAATTATAAAAATATGGCAGAAATAAATATAAAAAAAAAGAAAGAAAGAAAATTAAATTGATGAACGATAACCAACATTTATCGCAAAGAGACAGTTATTTTTTACTTGCTAACCACTTTAAGTTGTTTTAGCAGTTTTCTTATCGCAAATAATAGTTTTAAAGCTGTTTATGAAACTCTGAAAAAAGGCGGGAAGGCTACCTACCAGTTAAAGTGAGACCTTGGTTTTTGAAACTTGGGCCAGTGGGAATTCGGAGAGAACTGAAAAAAATTTTTGCTGATTATAGGGGTTTTTATAGCAATTTACTGTGCGATAGTGGTAGCCCACGTTTATTTTGGCTATTATTTTAATAATAAAATTACGGCTGCAGCAAAAAGAAAAACGGTCCGAAAATTATTCCGCTTACAAAATCCTCGTCGCAAAGAAAAATCTCTGGCTGTGCTAACCCAAAATATTCGGACTTTTACTACTTATGTGGTTTATGTTCCCAATCAATTATATTACTGAATATTAGGGGTTTGCTTGACTTTTATTTCCGCTTTCAAACACCGAAAAGAGGTAGGAAATACTATGATTGGATTAGGAATTGGTTTTTTTCTTCTCTGCACTGCCATAATTATCATTTTTCAATATTTACATTACAAAAAAGATCTAGAATTCCAAAAGGTGCTGGAAAAAGAGACAGAAAAAGAAAAATTTTTAGTCAACCATTGTGATCTGATTATCAAAAAAAGCCTAGTTGCTGAATATGAGAAAAATTACCTTCGTTCGCTAGAAAAATCCCACACCGCTGAAAATAAGCGAGATTGGATTTTTGCTAACTCTTTCGTAATTCCGGCCTATTCTCTGCCAAAATTCGCCCCTTTTCTCTTTTTGCGTTTTATCCACAACGAACCAACTTTTAGAACTGCTAACAGCCTAGTCAGTTTAGCCGACGACACCAAAAAAATGGCTGAAAGATTGCGGTTTTATCCTTTCGGGCTTTCCGCTCAAAAGCAGATTAATGATTTTCTGGCTGAACCAGAACGAGACGACATTCAAAAAAATATTATCATTCCTGAGCCAGTGGAAAGTATAACTTTCCAAAAAGTAAGTTTTTCCTATCAGAAAAATAAGCCTGTATTGAAAAAATTGGACTGAGAGTTTCGTCGTGGTCAGGTTAACCACCTAAGTGGTAAAAATGGCTTCGGCAAGAGTACCATAATCAGCCTAATTATGGGATTATATCAGCCTAATCAGGGACAAATATTAATTAACAATAAATATAAATTAAATGAAATAAACCTAATAGCGTGAAGAAAAAAAATTGCTTATGCCGAA